ATCCATTAATACTACCAAAATTTGCCTGTTTTATAAAATACATATATTTATATATATAAAATATATTTTATACATACACACACACACACACACTTAAAAAATTGTGTCATACAACCCTCACAAGTGTGGCAAAGATGGTTGCATGTCAACCACCAAGGTGAAAGGTCACCAGTTCATTTCTGGTCAGGGCACATACTTGGACTGTAGGGATTCAGACCCCAGTCAAGGCAACCGAATGATGTTTCTCTCATATCAATGTTTCTCTCCCTATCTTTCTCCCTCTCTTCCTCTCTCTCTCTAAAATAAATAAATAAGATCTTTTTAAAAAATCGTAGCACAGTCTTCCCCTACTTCTTTCACTTAATATGGTCATAAAGATTTTCTCATATCAAGTATTCTACAGAAATTATTTTAATTATTACATGTCTCAAAGCACAAATGTCCGTTAATTTATTTAACCAAGGAATTAAATTTATTTCCTTCTTGTTTTGATTTTAATTCTCTTGCTGTCATAACTAGGACTCATATAAGAAAATCCTTACATATAAGTCTTTATATTTTATATATCAAAAGGAAATGGCTCCTATTTCCTTGACTACATAAATTTTATTAATATTTGACCTGGAAAATCTATAAACATGTATTTGTATTCTATTTGCAATTTATTTTTTAAAAATATATTTTATTGATTATGCTATTACAGTTGTTCCAATATTTTCCCCTTTGCCCCCTTCCACTTGGTACCCCCAATCCCTCCAGCAATCCCCCTCCCTCCTTAGTTCATATCCATGGGTCGTGCATATAAGTTCTTTGGCTACTCCACTTCCTACAGTGTTCTTAACATCCCCCTGTATATTTGTATCTACCAAATTGTCCTCTTAATCCCTGTACCTTTACCCCCATTCTCCCTCTTCCCTCTCCCAACTGATAACCCTCCAAGTGATCTCCATATTTATGATTCTGTTTCTCTTCTGCTTGTCTGCTTAGTTTGATTTTTAGATTCAACTGTTGATAGTTGTGAATTTTATTGCCATTTTAATGTTCATAGTTTTGACCTTCTTTTTCTTATATAATTCCCTTTAACATTTCATATAATGGCTTCATGATGATGAACTCCTTTAGTTTTACCTTGTCTGGGAAGCACTTTATCTGCCCTTCAATTCTAAATGATAGCTTTGTCACATAGAGTAATCTAGGCTGTAGGTCCTTGGTTTTCATCACTTTGAATACTTCTTGCCAATCCCTTCTAGCCTGATAAGTTTCTTTTGAGAAATCAGCTGACAGTCTCATGGGAACTCCTCTGCAGGTACTTTTTCTTACTACTTTTATGATTCTCCTTTTATCTTTAGCCCTTGGCATTTTAATTACCGTATGTCTTGATGTGGGCCTCTTTGTGCCTATCTTGTTTGGGACCTTCTGTGCTTACTGGACTTGTATGTCTATTTCCTTCAACAAATTAGGGACGTTTTCTTTCATTATTTTTCAAGTAAGTTTTCAACTTCTTGCTCTTCCTTTTCTTCTTCTGGCATCCCTATGATTCAGATGTTGGTACGTTTGAAGATGCCTCAGAGGCTCCTTAGCCTATCCTCATTTGTTTTGAATTCTTTTTTTCTTGCTGTTCTGTTTTCTTGCTTATGTTCCAAACTGTTGATTTGATTCTCAGCTTCATCCCATCCACTGTTTGTTCTCTGTAGATTTTTCTTTATTTCTCTTAATTTAACCTTCATTTCTGAGTCTTTTCTATGCTCTTACAGTACCCAATCAGTTCCTTGAGCACCCTGATGACCAGTGTTTTGAACTCTGCATCTGATAGGTTGCTTATCGCCATTTTTTTAAGTTCCTTTTCTGGAGTTTTGTTTTGTTCTTTCATTTGGGCCATGTTTCTTTGTCTCCTTATTTTAGCAGCCTCCCTATGTTTGTTTCCGTATGTTAGGTAGAGCTGCTTTGACTCCCTGTCTTAGTAGTGTGACCTATTGTAGAAAAGCACACCTGTAAGTTGTGTGGAGGGGAGCCTTAGGTGATCGCCAGGCTGCGGCTACCTGTATCACTGCTCCATGGCTCTGTGTTGGGGAGGGCTTGAGAGGGGTCAATGCTGCTGCTGGCCTCTGGAGTTTTGTCCAGGAGAAAGTTGTCTCCTGACACTGGGCCTAGTGCCAATCACCTCAATTTCTCCCCATATGCCACTGATGCCCTTTCAGTTGTTGCCCTGATGTTGAATCCCAGAGGGATTGAGTCTGCTAAGTTTTAAGTCTGTTGTGGGCCCTTTGAAAGGAGTTTCTTGAGAATCCCACAGTTTCTCCTGCCACCCCAACCCCCCGAGGTTTTTATAGCGAGAAGTCTTGGGGACCTATCTTCTTGGTGATGGAACCCTGGGCTGGGGCGTGTGGTCTGGGCTTGGGATCCCTAACTCCTGAGGTATCCCTCCTGATTTTTATGCACACACATGGATGTGGCACTGCCTGTTCTGTATCTTTATGTCTCTCCACACCTCTATGCCTCTCCACCTCTCCACGTCTCTCCTCATTTCCTCCATTCCAACCCATCGGGATGAATGTGGCTTCTCTAAATCCTTGATTGTTAGACTTCCATTTAGCTCAATTTTATGACAGTTCTGGGTAATATTTGTAGTTTAATGTAATTTTTGCTTTAGTTTTGCAAGGAGGTTAGGCATGTTTACCTATGCCTCCATCTTGACCAGAAGTCCTCTATTTGTAATTTACAATGTGTAGTTCAGGATGTTTTCGCATGTATTTTTGTAATGTGAAATATCTTGAATTTTTAAATACTTATTTTCTGCATAAGTATATTATAATACTGAAATATGTGTGCATGTTTGTAATATATTTTACCAAATACACTTTTTATTTCATATATAAAAATGAGCAGTGACAGAAACAAACATTCATGCTTATGTGGATTATTGTTCTTTCACATGACATTAAATAAAACATGTAACCATAGCCTTACAGTGTTTCTATTTAGGTGCTCACATAATTGTTTTTGTTATGGTGTTTTGCTTTTAGACCTCACTTATTACTTGCCAGGTAGAAGATAAGCTATTTAAAACTGTATTTATAATGAAAAAATATGAAAAAGTTCATGAGTCAACTAAGTGTCAGTTAAATTTCTCGTAGTTTCAAACCAATGAATTTCTTAAGCAATTCAGATATTTTATTTTCATATATTTCAATAATAATTCTCTCCAATGTCACAGTGAAATATTTAAAATTTTTTCAATAAAATAGGACTGAACTATTAAAAATTAAGGATATATTCTGAAAATTTATACTTTAAAAACTAAGTGGTTGGCCATCTATTTTAACTAGATTGCTTTGTTCTGAAAACTATGTAACACTGTTATTTTCATCAATTTAAGAGGCTATGAAAACTTACTAAACGTGTTTCTAACATTCAACATGTACTAAAAAAATTTATACTTAATGATGTATGTTTGAATAAATAAAAATCATAAAGCAATCAAGTTCTTTCTATTTTATGCATGCATGATTCATAATTTAGTCAAAAGAAACCCTTAAATATATACCAAGATGTAATATTTGAAGTATATTATTAGTTACATTGTGCAAAAGTTTAAAGAATAAGTAATATTGCTTAATGAGTTTTCGCCTCCAAGAGATAAATGAGCTATGCAGACATATTAATTCATGATTTTCAGTAAGTCACAATGGCCTAAATCTTACTAAATTACTTCTGTAAGAAACATGCAAAGTTAAATTATGATGCAAACACTGTCAAACAAATGTACTTCTTGTAATAGCAACCATATATATATTTGATTATAAAAAGCCAAGAAACTTTCAAATTGTTCGAAATTTATATATGAATTATTCATTTTTATTATACTGTTAATTTTCCTTAAAATATACTACTCTAATATTTCCCCACTTAAAAAATCATGGAGGCTTAATATTAACAGAAAAGCAACCATCTGGTATTTAGCTGGAATATTTATTTATGGTCATTTTGGCTGTATTTTCATAGCAATGTTAGTCCTACTTTATACAGTAATATTTTGAAGACAGGCTATATCTGCTAATGTCTCTGACCTAAAAGAGCATAATTTTTTTATATATGGAACCAAGGTTAAGTGGATCATATGATATAACTTCAAACCACTCACGAAATATAATTATTCCTTAAAATCATTGTAATTGATATAAAAATGTTAAAATAAGGAAGTAATCCTCTGAATGTTAACTGCTATTATTCTATAAAATTTCTTTTTCCTTAACACACTAGAACAGTGTGAGGAAGAGAGTCACAGTAACATATATATGTGTACATATATGAGAGGTCATAACTATTGAGAATCATGTAATGATATCTGTAATATATCATGGACTAATTTAAAAATTTTCTCCTTGCAAACATCTGTAAGTAAAGATAGACTCCAAAACATATTTAAGGCTGTCATTTATAACCTTAAACTTTGGCAACCTTTCACTTAATCTTCTCAGAGAAAACATGATCTCTATTAAATCACCCATATTATCAGATACAAAATTATTAATTGCACAGAACAGACTTTTAAATCAAATGTAGGTTTCCACTGGCAATGAATAAATGACTATCATCATACAAAGGAGAAGTATTTCCTCTCTGCAAGCTAAAACAGTAAGTGGTATTTGAACTGCTGGTTGAAAGGTAGAGGCACACTGGTAATCATTATTTCCCCTTGTTTGTTCAGGCCGTTCCAACAAAACAAACAACCTTTTTGTGATTGGATTGACATCGTGTTAACAATGCATTTAATGCCCAAATCAGTATGAATACAGGTAAAGCTCTCACTAATACCAGAGCCAGGATGTTAAAGCCACCTATTTTCTAAGCAGCCAAAAAAAAAAAAAAAAAAAAAAAAAAAAGACAGGGCTTCTCCTCCTTTGGCAAATAGCTAGTATGCTAAATATTTATCAAGCCACATAATATAATAACCTTATGCACATTTCTTAAGGCCATATGTTAGAACTCATCTACCATACCTGCTGTCTTTTCAGCAATTTGAGCTTCTGTTGCTTTCTCTTGGAGTTCTACTTTAAGCTTTAATTTTCTATGTTCTTTATCTTCTTTAGACAGTTTTTCTTGAAGCTTAAACACATTAAAAAAAAAAAAAGCAGTTTCTTATCTGACAAATTTCTTGCACAACTACATAATTCCAGGGACTAAAACCCCCCACAATATGTAAGGTTTTAAGACATTTTATAAAGTAATAATTACTTGTAATGACATACAAATTGTAAAAATATTTTGATATACACTTTATATATGTGTGTGTATGTGTAGGCAAATGAAATTAAAGAAGGAACAACATAATTATTAAAAGTAACAATGGCAAAAAGTTATCTGATCCGTTCCATTGCCTTAAAACCAATGACTTGGGAGGGACTATTCTAAAAAAATAATGGACAGCAGAGCTTTACAGCTTCTCTTAGTATTTCTAATATTTTGAAACAAAATTAATTAAGATAATAATCTCAATATTTGAAACAAATCATCCTTTGAGAATGTTATCCTGTCATATTTCATTTAAATTGGCACTGGCAACTGACTCATAATTGGCACGTAATAAATAACTGCTAAATGAAAGTTCAGAAAATATTTCCAGCTCTCACAGAGAATCCCTCCAAATGCTTTTTTCTTTAATTCCTCCCTCAGCTTTTGTCATTTGTGTTGTTTTCCATCACATATGATCAACATTTCCTAATATCACATTTCAATTTGATTAGGTCAACAACTAGAATATAAAAATCAGACTAGAAAGTAGATGTTAAAAAAAAAAGAAGGCATACAAAAATGAATATTATTTCATAACATTATTTACTGCTCAAAGTAATGTAACTAGAAATAGAGTCAGAAAAGGTAAAATATGACATAACAAATTGGATTGGACAAAATGCAGCACTATAAGATAAGGTAAATGAAAATATCACCCAAGTTTAATTACATATATTATTTAGGTAAAATATAGCATAAAGATATGGATAAAGCCCTGGCTGGTGTGGCTTAGTGGACTGAGCATCAGCCTGCGAATCAAAGGGTCACTCGTTCGATTCCCAGTCAGGGCACATGCCTGGGTTGTGGGCTGGGCTCCCAGTGTGGGGGGCACTCGAGAGGCAACCACACATTGATGTTACAGAGGTAATGTTTAGAGAGGTTTCCTTCCCTTTCTCCCCCGCCCCCCTTACCCTCTCTAAAAATAAATAAATAAAATCTTTAAAAAAAAAGATATGGATAAAAAAAGATAAGTAGTTAAGGAAGTAATATGAAACCAGTGCATTCAGTTTGTCTTTCTCCAAAATATTGAAATAAAGTTTTACCACAGTAAAACCTGTGAATGAATCTTTTTTTTTAAATGTACCTACTTGATGTACTACAGATTTAGGAAAAAGGAAATGATATCACAGGCCAGAGAGGCAAGTAACCAAAGACACTGCTTTTTATAGCCAATTTCTCAACTCAATCGGACCCCTGATGGGATGATATGGCAACAATATAGAGCTACTGTTAAAGGACTGAAGTACACAAAACTGAATTACAATGGACAACAAAGCAAATTTAGAAGGTCAACAGCTAAAAGTATACTGTACAATTATCAGATTTTCTATAAGGTACCTTTTTATTGCTTGCTCTGAGAATGTCCAACTCTGTTTGAAGAAATGCTATAGTCTTCTCTTTATTTAAGTCTGAAGTAACTTGACATGGAATCATATATTCATAATGCAAATCATTATTTGTATGTTCTATAATGCTGTAACAAAGAAAACTATTAAGCAAGATAAACATTATTTCTACTATACAGGATCTATAAATTTTACACTTCAAATGGGGGGAGACAAATTTAATTTTAACAAATATAAAAAGTTACTTAATTTTAAATTTCTCTTGTGCACTAAGAAAATCTTATGGATAAAAAGAATAAATATATCAGTTTCTTAGAGGTGCTACTCTTATCAATTGAGAAAGGTAAATCTGTGGAAAGCATTTAGTGACATATACAGAGACACGTGGTTCAGTGTTTAGAGTATTCAGGTTTTAGGGGCTGTGAATATTAATTCAATTTGTACTTTTGGTCAGGACTAGACCCATTTCTCACTTCTCTGAAAGCGGAACAGTTTCAGTTTGGTTGACAGTATATTTTCATTATTAAATTTAAAACATTAAAACTAAAACCCTTTTCCTGTAACACTCAAGGGTAAACAAAAATTTTTTTTTGACATTTTGCATGCTATTTGAGAAGCGTATCAACTTATTCACAAGTACTATCAGGCAAGAGAAAGGAAAAGACATGGGCTATTTTTGAAGGCACTATATTATGTTATCAAGCACAGGTACATCTTAGAGCCTCTAAGAAGAGATTAAGCAGTGAGGGCTGGGACAGTCAGCGCAGCTGTACTCACCAGGTACATCTTCTCTTGCACTTGTACCAGACAGCTCATACTCTGGCTTCAGCCCAATCTCAACTATTTTTCCCATGTGGTTATAAAATGTTTATCACCTTTTCATTCATCCTTCCCCCTACTGCCTAAAAGTGTATTCCAATCTGTACTTCAGTAAGAACATAACTCATTGCTACGCAGTAGGAACATATTAATATACTTACTGAATAATTTTTAAGTAATTAGAAATGGCTTTCCATATGTAAAATTGTTAAAATATATTCTATAAAATAAAATTTTGTCTGAGATGAAAATATAATTATATTAGTCACTGAAATTTTTCTAATTTAGTAGTACTTTCATAATACACGATTAAGGATCAAAGTACCTTAATGCCAAAGGTAAAAGTCACATATGCCATAAAGAAGGCAAATGAAAGTGTACAAGGCCCTTCTAAAAGCATTCAAATTCATTTAAATGAAAAATAATGCTAACCAAAACCACATCTTTGCATTCATTTTGTTCTGGAGCTACCAGAACAAAAAAACCCCATTAATATATATATATTAAAAAAAACCCATTAACATAAATCCAATGGACTTTATTTCCAGATCCATAATGAAAGCTCACAGGAAATAATATTTAAAGCATAAAACCTCATGGACTTTATTCAAACTCATCTTGTGCTTTTTCACTTTGCAATCCAGACCAGTGATTTTCAACTGGTGCACCACAAGAATTTTTAAAACATGCAGTACCTGGCTACTTAGTCAGGGGCACTGACATCTTTCTCTTAGACTGTCAAATAAAGAAATGACAACAGCAACACAACAGCCGTCTGATGTGAATGAATCAAAATTATACCCATTTTTTTTGTCAGATTGGCAAAAAGTGTATTTTTGGCGTGTCGCAGAATTTTAATAATTAGTTTGTGTGTGCCATGAGATGAAAAGGTTGAAAATCACTGATCTAGACACACTGTATCAATGTAACTGAAAATAGTAAAAAACTCTGGTAGATTCCCCAAATTCTAATATGTTAATGATGTGTCAAACTTAGCTTACAGCAGTAAAGAAGGAAAGGATAAAAAAAGGGAGAAAGGCAAAAGGCGCCCTTCCAGTTCTTACACTCTAAATCTAAGACTGCTGGTACTCACGTGGATGTTTCTGTAGTGCAGTAAGATGTCTCATCACCTGGATTAGGAAAATTCCTTGATTTCTGCTCTGGCAGATCTGTGTCCTCATGTGCAGCTTCATTAACTAATTCACTGGACTTCTGATGCATGCTGCCCTTAGAACTCTCAGTCAGTTGCTCATCTGGCAGTGCACTTTTATCTCTCCCTGTAGTCTCTTGTTCAATATAACTATGGGCTATTTAAAACAAGACAAAACAAAAACACATGATAAATAAAATATAGCTACATACTGAATCATTCAAATGAATATTTTTGGTGGAAATACGTGCTCTCATAGCTTTAAACACGTTCTTACTAGTCTTATTCCTATTGTAATTACATAAGCTTGTACAGTGTGGTTCTGCCATTAATTATTTCCATTCCCACTGTGTCAGAGCATTTAGGACTGTGGTTTAAACCTTGGCTGCAGGATGAAATAATTTGAGGAGTTTCTAGAAATCCTACAGCCCAGATCACATCTTATATTAGTTAAAATATCTGGGAGTGGTCAGATGACTCCAGCATGCAAGCAGCTTAAAAAACATTGATTTAAAGGTATTACTTTCAGATTACTCCCCCCCTCCAAAAAAAATTGGAAACTAGGTTGCAATAAATTAATGATTATAGTAAAGTGATATTGTACATGGAACTCTGATACCAGACTGTCTGGATCAGAATTCCAGCTTTTCCAAGTGTGTAACTTTGAGCAAGTAACATAACCCATTTACACCTCAGTTCTTGTTTTTAAAATGGCAACATAACAACACTTACCACACTTGTTGTGAGGATTAACTGAGTTGATACATGCAAAATACTGATACTTGGCCTCATGTCTGGCACATTAATAATAAATGTTAGCTATTACTTTTGTAATCATCATTGTAATATTATAAAATGAATATAAGAATTATTTTTAACTCCTATTTTACCAGATATGTATTATACATTAGAGAATCTGTGTTTGCAATGTCTGGCTATCTCATAAAAATTATCTTAAGCTATAACTAGTAGATAATAGCTATTTCAAAAGAATAGCATATATCTGATTTTTTGGAAGAAAATGACACACAAACAAGGGCACAAAACAAACTTTTTCACCACTAAATCAGGTCAACAGGCACAAATCTTCACTGTAACTATTTCCAGCAGAAACTTTAAAAACTAGGACTGGAAAAAGCAGGTCAATCTCATCTGTTTATTGACGATGCTATCTCCAATCTGTCAAACTTAAAATCCTTTTGAGGCAGAGGGAGTAGTTTTTAAAATAAAAACAAAATGAGGCACTTACAAATAAGGTATCTCTCACAATGTATCCTTTCTCTAAGAAGAAATTTTTTGCTCGTACATATGCTGAAATTAGGTATAGCCAGTTATAAGCTTCAAGTCCTGGTCACTATCATATTGGTGGCTAAAGCTAGATCAGGAACCGTTTTTAGTAAATTACTCTTGATTTAACTTTATTTGAGGGAACAAACTGGGAGAATGTCCTATCATAATTACACATTGTAAAATGTCCATAAAATTTCAATATTATATTCTATTTTCATATAAAATTAAACAATTTTAGGTTTCTAGAAATTATGTTTTGCTTCTTGATATTTCAAAATGCTTACTTGGTTGACTTTAAATGTTCATCATACTACTTTCCTAGAATAGATTGGTATTGGTTGCATTCAACCCTCCAAATCTGAATGAGAATATTTTACAAATGGACTCTAAAGAATACCACTATATCATGAACAAACTATGCTTTCCAATACTCCCATAGAACTTCTAAGTAACTCAATAAAATTATAAGTAATTACTGAAAGGAATATCAAATAACAAAAATTGTCTCCAGAGACATATCAGAAAGTAACTATTAGAGCCTATACTGTTCTCTAGTTTTTGAGGTATAAACATTCATCAAAAAATAAAATAATGGGCCAGCTATAAATAGCCTCCCGTTGCTCAAGCCAACACCAGGCCAACTGCTGTGGAATCTTAAGGCTTGAATCTTTGACCTGTTTTTGAGACCAAAATTGTCGTTATCTACAAATTATCCCATATTTTTACTGTATTTCTGGGTCTTAAAAGTTAAGCATCTTTCTCCTTTTATTTTTTTATTCTTAACCTTACAGTGTTTAGTTTACCCAACTGCTGATATCTATACTTGCTATTTGCTTACTACACTTACAACTTTCTTTTACTTCATTTTACTTAATGTCAAATTTTGTGATTTGTTGATTTATTGATAAATCACTGCCTTTTCACCTCCAAACTCAGAGCAGAGGTGGGAGCTTCCCAATAAGATGACTCCTTGCTGATCCCTCCTGCACTGTAGTAATTATCACCCTAATGAACTCAACAAGTACCTACATACTTCTTGATTTCAATTCTAAGGGTTTAATATTTTTTAAGTACCCTGTACTGTGTGACTTGGTTCTGGTTAATTTTGGATGCTTCTAATCTTGCTCTGTATTTAGATTCCTAACTATAACTGATCACCAGACATTTGGAGCTTGCTCTGCAAATCAGACTATCCACACTCTTCTACCAAGACATTAATTTTACTTTAGAGTAAACAGGCTGATTTATAAAATTTTCTTTTGTCTGCCTTTTTTTTGACCAACTATTTTAGCAAATATTGCTTAAATTCTCTGAATGCTCTCTATATTCTTCTACTCCACTGTATAGCATTATTCTACACCAGAATCCAACCATTTTTATAGAAAGTTTGACCCTTCTACTTAACTTATTCATTAACTTAGTAATTCATGGAAAATGTACAGTGTGATATGTCCTGATATAAGAACTATAAAAACAGACACAGTAAGGAACAGACCCTTCCCCCGAAGGATTCTACAAACATTGAGCAAGGTAAACCAATCTAATGATTTGAATACAAGGTGATAAGGAAGGATTCCTCTGGGGCTATAGAGACCAAATACGAAGGCTACATATATGGATGCTCATCTGTAAACTCTAAGAAGATTTCACAGAGACATTGTTACAAAAGAAAAAAGAAAGAAAAAAAGAAAGAAAAGAACAAGTAGGAAAAGTAGGAGGTGCAAAGAATGAACTGCCAAAGGAACTGAGGTAAGAGAAGTAAAAAAAAAGTTGACAGACTGTAAGGATAAGAAAAGAACAGAAAGAATAGGCATAGAGGAAAAAGAATAGCTTTATGAAAAATATTTTATATTAAAGTGACAAGATGTTATAATTGGGAAGTGAAAATATCTAAAATGAGCACTATGTGAAAACAAAGTCCAAGATGTGGTTCATCTGGGAATGAATTGATAAATAGATTGATAATGAAGGTACGTGTAGAGAAGAAAATCAAGGATTCAGGGTAATTAAAGTGTCAACTTTGAAGACACTAACGTCATCAGAAAAATGGCAAGGATAGATGAGAAATGAGAGCCAAATGCAAAAGCTTCATGGACTGCATAAACGTGCTAAAGACGAGAGATGAGAGAGGTGAGAGGAAATGATTGTAGGTAATAGTCATTTCTTTTCTCCTTTTTTATTCTGAAATAATTTCAGCCTTACAAAAAGTTGCAAAAATAGTACAAAGAATTCCTACATACCTTTCACTCAGAGTCTCCCAATGTTAACATTTTACTACACTTGCTTCATTCCTCATTCTCTCAGTATCTACCTATTTACCTGCCTACCTACATAAAATTTTTCTGAAACATCTGAAAGTTGCAAGCATGATGCACTTTGACTTTTCAAGTCAGATTTTAAGATACTACTCTATTCCATCGCATCTTAACAAATTTTCTTTACCTATTCTAAGTCCATCTTAAATTCAATCTGAGTTAGTACCTTCTCCAACCAAGAGAAGAAAAAAGCACTTGGTGATTCTAATTCAGTCTTCAATTATTTTTCCTGAACCCTCCAACCCAGGAGAAAGGTAATTATCAAGTGATATTGCAATGAAGCTATTAAAAACTTTAGTTGAGCTGTTTGTACCACCCATCACTTAAAAAAGAATTACATAGAGAAATATAAACATATACAAAAAATGCAACAAAAAGTTATGGGTCTGTTTTGCACACTACTCAATTAGATAAATGTTTAAAAGAACACATTCACTTTTGATTAAAACTCTTATCCCTAGGCAGATGAAAGCTTAAAACTAAAACTATTCTATTGATTCCTGTCTCGCATGTTTTAAAATAGAAACTCTATAACCTTCTTTACTAATTTGCTTCTAATCAATGGCAGTGTTTGTTGTTTCATCATTAATATTATTACTATTTAAATTCATTTATCCACATATTTAGAAAATAAATTAGCAATCTCTTCCTCATAATTCATAAGTCTATGAGGTCTTTCTTTCCTTAAATAACAGGAAATTTTTTATGATGACTATCAGTTCCTGTATTTATTTGCTTTTCTATGGACACAATGCATTATTTGGACATAAGAATTTGACCACTTCAAACCAAATATATTCTCCAATTTTTGCTATTACTTTCAATGCTACCACTGCCACGTAAACTTATCCTGTGACCATTTGAAAATGATGTTACAGAAGATTACTACTAGGTATTCCTCAATGACGCCTACAGCTACTGCTAGAGACAGTTTATTCACTTGGGCAAAATGGGTGGATTTAGTGAAGATATTTTTTTGGAATCAATACTTAACACATGTGCTTCGGTGGACTGCTACACATACTTTGAAGATTGTGTATCTCTCTAGTGACTTTCATGCTGTTTCTAATGGATCATTTTCATGATCTAACAAATTCTCTCTTTACTTCTGGAGGTATCAGTATTGCAAACTATCTTATAGCCTTGTTATTAAATTCTCAATTTCTTGGTCTAGAAAATTAGCAGTACTATATTTTTTCATAGCAGTACTATATTTTTTCAGATTTTAAGAACAGAAGCTTTAGGATCTCCTTCGAGTTCAGGTCTCCAGACAATTATACATTAGTCAACATATAATATACTCAGTTGAATTGATGCTACCCAAGAAATCATGACTCATCACCAAAAGTAACTGTTATTTCACAACTACTATACAGAAGTGAGGAGGTGGCTAGAATCAAATAGGGATTCTTAGAGGCTGGGAATTTCTATTCTGTCTGGCTTTGTAAATAGTTTGTGACAACTGGTATCTGTGTAAACGGATTTGATGGTCCCCTGGCGGGGGGGTCAATGCTGTTTACAGAGCTGTTTCTTCAGAGTGGTTGAGCTAGAA